ATTATTGTATAATCACAGTCACATTTTTTAAGCTGGCCAGAATGATGTTTTTTACAATTGTTAGCCTCCACAATTATACGTTCATGTCACAGTAAGTATGTATTAGATGCATTTTCATCTGTACGGTTGAGGAAAATACATATAAATAAAAGAAAGCAGAAAACACAATAACAGCTGACCACTCTCGTCCTGGACATCACCTCTTCCAGCCGCTTCCCTCTCGTAGAAGCTTCAGGGCCATCAAAACCTGCACAACCAGACATGATAACAGCTTTTTCAGCTGTAGCTCATTACCTACAGTGGACACCTCACACTTTGAACTTAAACTAAACCAAACAAACTTCCTTATAGTGTTAGAGTAACTCATCTGTAACCTAATGTTTTTTGCACAACTGTACAGATGTTACATTTTGTCAAATATTCATATCATTCTGTAATATTCTGCATATGTATAGATATTCTTATCTGCATATGTACAAATATTCACACGCCTCTTTAGCTCCTCTCCAAAGCTCCTTATTATTTTTTATTCTGTTCATTGTATTTTTATTTTATTTTATAAATTTTACAAAATTTATTTTATAAATATTTTATATTTATATATTTAACTCTTAGTTAAATACTTGTTAACAGTCTGTCTTCTTGTCTGGTCTGTTTAGTATGTTACATGTCATACACATGTGACTCACCAAGAAAGGTTCCTTGTATGTGAAACATACTCTGTGAAATAAAGTGATTCTGATTCTGATGCATAGCAAAATATTCAAGGTTGAAGACCCCCAGTAAAATTACATGAAAATAAGACCACTTCCTCTACAGGGAACAAATGTAAACATGACATTTTCTGCTACTTTAGTGCACAATTTCTAGTTTTGGTTGAGTTTAACATAATTGAAAAAATAAAATATAAAATGTGTCATAACTTTTGCACAGCCTACAGTTTGTGTTTTTTGTTTTTCAGCAAATAAACAGTAATGGAACATTAAAATGTGCAGTGGATTCTCTGTAGAGGATGTGTTTACTTATTTTCACTTAGAAAATCAACAAAGCATGTCTTTTGACCAGCGGTGTGTAAACCTCTGCACACACCTAATGCTGTTTGCTCTGCAGTGTCGACTAGAGGAGGATGGGCTCCCCTTTGAGTCTTGGTTCCTCTCAAGGTTTCTTCCTCTTGCTCTTAGGGAGTTTTTCCTTGCCACTGTCACCATTGGCGACACTCATGGGGGCTTGGACCCGGATTTTTCTGTAAAGCTGCTTTGTGACGACACCTGTTGTATAAAGCGTTACATAAATAAACTTTGACTTGACTTGACACCTGTATGTAGTTTTCCTTTGGGAAAGTGAATGTAGTGTAGGGTACATTTACATTGACTGTAACAGAGATGTGGCACTAATATATCACTTTATGTATTTTATTATCTTACAATTTAATTGCCTATATACAGTACTTTGAATCACATTTGTGTAGGAAACATGCCATATAAATAAACTTACCTTTCTTATAATGTAAAAATGATGTGTTGTTTTAATTTCAGAATGTAACTATCCCAGCTGTCTTAAAAATTAGTTCATTATACCTCTAACACTGACAATTTTTAAAAAGTAATGAAAGTAATAATAGAACAATATACAATAATAGATCTCGGCATATTATTTGAAGTTCATATAATATCATATAATATTGTTATTTAGAATCAGCCAAGTTAACTTACATTTTTAAAGTTGGATCATTGTATAAACATTGAATTGTTGTTTTTACGGTATAGCAATGCCAAGGTCAATGGTTAGAGAGCACACTCTTATTATAAAGGAAAAGGGCACGCACTGTTGCAAAGTGTCTGCTATATGAATACATACATGTAAATCTACGAGGAAAGAGAAAGTGAAGGAAAAACATAGAGAGGACATGAATGAATGGCTCTTAAGAGATTACGCTGGGCTACCCTGAACACCCCCCACCAACTCTCTGGCTGAGTTATCTTTACCCAGGTTTTGTCTTCTCTAATTGGAGCTGATGAGGGACTAATTGGTAGCTTTTTTACAAAGCGCGGTACTTAAGCAGCGGCGATGCTGAGGGAGACAGCATGAGCAAAGTTAATGAGAGGCTTTGGCCGAATAAAGGCCCTCTTCCAGCGGGGAGGGGGAGGGCAGAGAGGAAAGTTGAGGATATCCCTTTTGTTTCTGCAATCTTTTCCCCTTTTTTTTGCAGCGTGCAGGTATCTGAAAAGCGAGTTGGAGGGGACGGTGAGCACTTGTGAAGATAAAGGAATCCATTCTGTATTGTCCTGGGCCTTCGTTTTAGTGTGGTCATAAATAAGGGGCAGCAGGCTCTCCGCTGAATGCACTTTAGTGCAGATGAATAGTGAGAAAAGGCTTCACACGCAGCCAGACAGAGCTGTGTTGAGCCACTTTAAGGTAATGTTTGAATACATGCACTCTCACTCTCTTTCACACACACACACTGAGGGTGCCTCATGTGTAGGCCATTGTTAGACGGACAGCACACACGAATAAAATAAGTGTGTTTAAGGGGAACTCAGCGTACACAACACCTAAAATGATTGAGATTTGCTTTAGAAAGGCTTAAATATGGATTCTAAAGCATATTATTCACCAAGGTCTTCAAGGATGTCCATATCTGTGTCCTTCGTGTGCTATACAAAGGGTTTTTGTTGACTACTTGACTATTTCAGATAGTCATTAATGTCTCTATGTCAGCTCCTTTACACTGAAATACATAAATCTGACAATTAATTCAACAGAACATCAAGCCTATGACAAAGCCCCTCTTCGAGCTCATAACTCATATGTCGTCCTGATTATAGTAACCATATGCAACTCAGATATCTTTATAAGTCAATACATGCAAGTCTCTGGCATTTTTATTCCTAACGGCTTCTAATTTTCCTTTTTCAGCAGGGGTAGATGTTGTGTTTAATGGAAAGAGGCAAACAGCTTGAGAAGGTTGGTTTGTCTGTAGTTTAAAGCACGTAAGCTAGCTAGATAGCACAATATCTACTCCAGTGGAAACATTAGTAAGTTTTAAAGGAATGTGATCTGTAACTCATTAAAACTTTAGCTAGATTAGCTGCCAACTTCAGCTATAAAAGGTAGTGCACTTGCATACTTAGCTAGCTAGCCAGCAGTTTCAAGTTGTTTTGCTTTTTTTCTTTAAATGCCACTTTTTTGTGTGTGTTTTTCTGTAATGGTCTGTAAAAGTCTCATTATTAGCTGCAGGTTTGCATTTTACAAAAGTCAACCTCTACTAAAAACCTGTGTTAAACATCTTAAAATAACAAGGCTTTTATTTTAGAAAATGTTCAGTCTGAGAGACAGAACTCAAGCGATACACGCAGTAAATGCAGAGTAGTAGAGTCTGTAGTTTAGCACGTGAAATAGCCGATCCAGCATAAACTTTAGGATGTTTTAAAAGAATGTGATCTGTACTGCACTGAAACTTCACCTAGACCAGCTGACAACTTCAGCTGTAACAGTTAGTGAGCTAGCATACTTTGCCTCTTTCTTTTAAACACTGCATTTACTGCATGCAGCGCTTCATTCTGTTCATCAGACTGAAGGTTTTTATACAGTAAAAGGCTCATTATTTGAAGCCATATCGAACCTGATGCTGCTGCAACCTGTGGCGTTGCATTAATGACTGTGCAAGGTTTTATTCTTTTACTGCATTAATGTTGGCACTCCTAATTTAATTACTTCTGTCTCAGGCTGATATTTCACAAATATCAAGTCTAGAGTCACAAGTCAGTCAACATGCGACTTGAGTCCAAGTCACTGACTTGAGTCCGGTGAGCATTCTCAGCTCAGGTAAGCGGGCAGAAGTGATATTTTCTCTCCCCTCTATGTTGGCATATTGCATTATTTGCTCTGCCTTTGTTGTGTTAATGTTGTTTTGTGTATTTGTGAACAGGATGCAACAGCTTCACTTAGCTAAGCCCCTGGTGGCCCACTGTGAGGTCAGAAATAATGGCCTGGCCCTCTGCTCACAAACAAGTCAGAGAAAAATCTTTACACAACCTACACAATGAGGACTATCTGCAAAACTAATACTGGCCTTAGTAACAGCTCATACACACTTGCCCTGGTGCCTTGTTGTTGGGGAAGAAACCCCATTGGCCTTGGCTGATGTCATGCAGCAGCTTTCTCTCAGGCCGAGCCCCTGTAATTGGCTGGCCAAATATTTGCCCTAACTAATTTGTAGTGGTATTCTCATACTAAGTAATCCATTAGGTCCCAACAGACCTCATTGTGTCCCGTCCAAAGGGACCATTTGCATCTCCTTTGTCATTTAAATGCTGCATTTCCTTCTAACAGTGAGACTTAACTTCTTAATGAATGGAACAAAAAAAGAAAAAGGAAAGTAGCTGGGGCTAAGCTAATGATGCTAAGCTAAGGAGACTTGTGGAATATCAATAGTAAATGAGGAGACCACTGAGAAAGGTCACCTGGTCTAGTGCTTTTCACTAACCTAGTATTCATGGACAAAAAACCATGAATACCAATGTAAAAAACTCATTTTTTTATATATTTTTTCTTTTGTTCATTCATTTTTGAGCATCGTTGAGTTTATTATATCCATGAAATCAGTGTAAAAACAGGATTTAGAGAGGTAAAAGTGTCCAGGATGAGGCAGCTGTTGCATCAGTGAGAAGAATAGCATGTAGGCTAATATGTTCAGCATGTGTAGATAAGGTAATATAACGGAAATCAACAATACAGGAATAACCAACACTTCACCTTTTTCAGTACGGTGTATATTTTCTATTGTAAGGCTCCCCCATTGAGTCGCATTGCAGCTGGTTGAGGCTGACCTCAGAGCAAAGGTCAGGGTCTCTCTCAGGAGTGTTCCTCATTAGCCCTGAATCCCAGGGGCAAAGGAAAGTGAGTTTTTTGTCGCTCCCCACCAGCTGAGGGGCTTTGGATGGCCCCATGAGTGAGCTGCCCTCAGGGCCGATGTAAGCTGAGCCCCGTCATTCAAGAACATGACTCATTCTGGTGTGACCACCTCCAAACGGGGGTCAGGTAAGACTGTCCTGAGATCAGCCAGGTTCTTTATGTTACAGCAGTTATAACAGGGTTTCTGGTGCAGGGACCTGATCTTTGGTCAGAGTGACAAACGCAGAATGGCAACCCTGCATCGTAGGCTTCATACAGCCTGTGCTCATGAAAGCTAATTACAGGCTCGCTAGCCGGATAAGAAGCTCACATTGTGTTATATTAGCTGTCTGTTGGTTAATTGTGTAGTATTAGCCAAGTCAGGAGATGCAGGAAATGGTTAGAAAAGCAGTCGTTCATAAAAACTGGCACAAATTTTGGTAAAATTTACTTGATTATCAAATATTTTCTTTATCAGTACTAAAAGAAAAGTTTAGCTTGCATGATCTTTTTCTCTAAAAGATCCCTTAATTTAACCTGTTTATCAAGATGAGTCTTCCGCTAAAAAGTTTATTGAGGCAGGTATACATATAGCAAGGGATCTGAGGCCTTTCCTCAAAATATATTTCGCACAGTCAGCCAGATCTCTGCCAGATATTTAACCCTCCCAGGACCCCATAAAAACATTTATGAGTCTCTCAGTAGTTCTTTCTCATGCTCTCAGAGAGTTTCTCCTTTCGCGTCTTGGTTCCTCTCAGTGGTTCTTCCTCATGTTCTTAGGGATTTCTGCTGGACCAAGACTCTGCTATTTAGGTTTTCTCCAGACGTTTTCCCTGTGTTTTAGGAGTGAGATGGCCACTGCAAATGCTTGATTCTCTGGTCACTGAGTTATTTTGTACAAATATGGGGGAATGCTTACTGTCATTGGACCTTATTAACCAATATCTTCCTACGTTTTTTTCTAAAATTTGTTCTTGAGAAAGGTCCTAAGAAAAAGTCAGGCTCATGATGTGTTCTTAAAGCGCAGAACTGTTCTCACCTTTGTGCCTTTGAGTGTGTAGAATCTGCTCTTACCTAAGAACAAATCCCAAATAAGAAAACACTGGTGAATGTCAGAATCGTCATGAAAATTGCATAAGTGGGTTTTAAGAAAAAGATTCTCCTTAAGAACGTTTGGTGAATGAGGCCCGATGTGGGAGGATCCAACAGTGACTGAGTTTTGGCAGTGACCGAGTAAAATAGCAGTACAGTCAGATAAAACAAAGTAAAAAGTTATGTAAGTTTCACAGAGGAGATTTGGCCTTTTTGTGGCCTGACCACACCATTATATGCTGAATCCACTGCTGGTGTCAATAGCCAAAAAAGCACCATATGTTGAGGCCACAAAAAGCCCCTTTAATGAGGATGCTGATAAATTATTGAATGGTAAAGTCTCCAAAATGGTAACTTTACAGGAGAAAGAACGAAATATTCTTAAGTGTGAAAGGAAATTAAGGAACAAGATTTTTTTCAAGTAATTCTGGACCATTTTTGTTGATCCATTTATCATTAATTGCAACACAGTTGTGTAAAAAATGGAGAGCCAAAGTTTTGTTCTGAGAGCGATGCTGTTATTTAAGTGCCTTTATCTGTCTTAAGCAGGATAGTGGACATTTTGACACAGTGACAAAAGCCTTGAACTTCACTGTTGTAACTAGAAACATTACCAGTGACTAATGCACATTTTATTTCACTGCCACTGCATGCAAACTGACAGTTTTGTTTAGTTGGTAGGCCACGGCTAAAGGCAAATAAATAAATAAATAAAAATTGGCAAAAAGAGTGTGAGGCTTTTGAGAAGCATTTTACATTCAAACACACTGGGCCTCATTTACCAATACCTTTGTGCTCTTGAGTGTGTGTAGATTTTGTTCTTACCTAAGAACAAAATCCACAACATGTTACAGAGACAATAACAGCAAGACTTCACAGTTCGCAGTGAAATTCCTGAGCCACACTGTCAGCACAGGAGGCTTATAGGCAGACCTGGACAAACTAACGGCCACAGATATGCCAGTTTACAAGAGCGTGATTTATGTGCATGGCCAAAATGATGATTTTTAAAAGTGTATTTATTTATTTACTTGTTTCGTTATGGTTTGTTTGTTTGTTTGTAAAAAGTATTTCATTCAAACTGCTACTAGCGTCATTAATAATTAGTAGAAATGAGCCGTTTTATGGACAGGTGCTAAATATTATACTCATTATACTCTTATACTCATCTTAAGACTTTTTGTTATGTAGGTATTTTATGTGCTATGTGCTTTTAAAGGGCTGCCCAAAGTGCCCAAATTTGGCCTTTGATTTGGCCTCTGAGAAACTTACCCTATGAGACCCAATAAGACATACTTTAATACTATTTTTAAACTATTTAGACTATTTAACTCATTAAATTCTGTATTTTTAAGTTTTTTGGTAACTAAATTGTGTGTGTGTGTATATATATATATATATATATATATATATATATATATATACACATATATGTAAGTAGCTTATTTGTTAAATATGTGATTTGTTTGCTTGTTTGTTTGTTTGTTTTACATTTATCTGTGGTCTAAAAAAAAACCTCCACAAATTCCTAAAGGGACTGTATTTGCTTCATTTGCATAATATTTCACTGAATTTATAATCATCATTATAATTATCATTTTATATTACGTAGCGTACACAAAAAAATATCCATATAAGTAAAATATATTATTTATTAAATATATTTCACTTTTTTAAAATTAAAAAATAGATCGTCAATTACATATGAGTGTTTACCTGATGACGTAGAAGCCTTCGCCTGATGAATATTTATGAGTATCCGGAGCGCGTACTCCTTGCGTGGACCAATAAGCGCGCGCCCTGTTGGCTTCTCTCGCGCTTTCCCGTGGTGCCGCGCGCAGGAAGCGCTGCGTCAGCAGTGAGCTAGTGAGTGTAAAGATGGCGGCGCGCGCGCTGGTAGCGGCGGTGGTGTTGTGTGTGTGCGCGGTGCTGCAGGAGACGCGAGGCAGCGGCGGGGACGCGCCTCACCGGCGCTTTGAGTACAAACACAGCTTCAAGGGCCCCCACCTGAGTCGGGACGGGAGCATCCCCTTCTGGGTTCACACGGGGAGTAAGTGCCGGGGCTACGGGGGGGCCACTTCCCTCACTCACCCACTCACTCACTCAGCACAGCTATATTGATTAGTAACCTCACTGAGACTGACACGAGCTGATTATCAATAACCTATTTATATTATTTTACTGTCTGCTGAAGAAAACTACAAAAATGTGTTTAACTTACTTATTATTCCTCTGTGTTGATGAGTATCTCTCCTCACTCAGCACTGCTGCACTGATCAATAACTCACATAACTCAATCACTGTGATTTACACGCGCAGATTATCAGTGAGCTCGTTATACCATCTCATTCGCTGGGTATATTACACAGCTTTTTACTGACAAGATGCTTTAAACATCTATAAGTGTTGCTCTGTTAGTGGAGCTGAGTGATCCTTCTTCACTCAGCACAGCTGTACTGATCAATAACCACACTGAGACTCTTACACGAGCTGATTATCAATAACATCTTTGTACCATTCTACTGCCTGCTGAGACAAACTACACAAAAATATCTTTAACGTAGTTATTATTACTGTAATAGCATTGATGAGTATCTCTCCTCATTCAGCCCTGCTGCACTGATCAATAACTCAATCACTGAGACTCCTACTGATGATCAATAACTTCGTGATACCATCTGATCACTCACTGGGGCAAAAAACACGTCTTTTTACTGACGAAGTGCTTCAGACTTTAAGTATTGCCCCATTAGTGGAGCTGAGTGTTCCCTCTTCACTCAGCACAGCTGTGATTAGTAACCTCACTGAGACCTATTATCAATAACCTCTTATATCGTTTTACTGTCTGCTGAGACAAACTAAAGAAAAATGTGTTATTATTACTCAGTGTTGATGAGGAGTCTCTTTCATTCAGCACTGCTGCATTGATCAGTTATCGATTGATACCAGTTGATACCGTCTCATCGCTCACTGAGGCAAATTACGCATCTTTCTTACCAACCAAATGCTTCAAACTTTATAAGTATTGCCCTGTTAGTGGAGATGAGTATTCCTGTTTCACTCAGCACAGCTGTACTGATCGGTAATCTGGCTGACACCACTGCATAATCAATAACCTCTCGAAAAACATCTCACTGGGTGCTTTTTACAGACAAGGCAACTTAACCTCGCAATTACTGCCCTAACAGTGCAGATCAGTGCTCTGTCTTCACTCAGTACATAGCGAAAGTTTAACACGTTCAAGATGGTGGGAAACAGAAACTGGTTTGTAGAGGAGACGAAGTTTGTGCTTTGAACTTTAAAAGGCGGTGGTGGGACGGGGGTCTTGTTATCTTCATGCTTGCTCTTTACAAAGAACCAGGTGGAGGTGCCTGTATGCACTACTAATCAACATCCTGCCTGTAAACGTACTGTTATCAGTAATGCTGCAGATGCTTGCGCATGCTGCTTATCAATACCCTGATGTTCTAGTCGCTCATCAGCATCTTGGTGTAGATGCTGTAGAGTGAAGATGGGTGATATGGGGCTGTCACAATTGTGAAATTTTAGCTGATGGTTAATCGTCATGTAAACATTTGCGATTAACGATTTAATTGTCTTTTCTTTTTTGTTATACGCCGATCAGCCATAACATTAAAACCACCTCCTCGTTTCTACCCTCAGTGCGTATTTAATCAGCTCCACTTACTATATAGGTGAGCATTGTAGTTATAGAATCACAGACTGTAGTCCGTCTGCTTCTCTGCATACTTTGTCCCCTGTTTACACTGTTCTTCAGTGGTCAGGACCCCTAAAGGACCCTCACAGAGCAGGTACTATTTGGGTGGTGGATCATTCTCAGCACTGTAGTAACCTGACGTAGTGTTGTCGTGTTAGTGTGTGTTGTGCTGGTACAAGTGGATCAGACACAGCAGTGCTGCTGGAGTTTTTAAACATTGTGTCCACTCTATTAGACACTCCTACCTTGTCGGTCCACCTTGTAGATGTAAAGTCAGAGGCGATAGCTCATCTGCTGCTGCACAGTTTGTGTTGGTCATCCTCCAGTCCTTCATCAGTGGTCACAGGACGCTGTTGGCTGGATATTTTTGGTTGGTGGACTATTCTCAGTCCAGCAGTGACCCTGAGGTGTTCAAAAACTCCAGCAGCACTGCTGTGTCTGATCCACTCAGACCAGCACAACACACGCTTTCTGTGAGGGCGCTTTGGACTCTTTAGACGTCTGGTTCCATTCTCCACCACTGTGATATATTCAGACTTTCTCTAGAAACATTTTAATTCCACTAAAATTTTGAAAAATTGGTGGAATTCCGCTGTAATGTAGTTGTTCGGTGTTCTAGAAGTACTGACCATATGAAAGTAGAAACAGTATAAGAGCAGAAAAGTGTATTATGACAGAATTTATTGTGAAAATGATAAAACATCATCATATAGCCCAACCCGACTATGAAGTTTCGGTTCTTTCAACAATGCGCTCACATTACGAAAGAGAAAAGAGACCAGCTTGACCAGTCTGATGCACCTCATTGCATAAAAATGCTGCAGTCTAGTAGGTTTAATACCACTCACACTTGAAGGGGAATTCCACCGATTTTTTTTTAAATTTCTATGTAATTCAGTGGTTGAGAGCAAAGTCATTCAGAGCAGTCTGATATGAATGTGCAATTCTTTTGTAGAGAAACTTACAGACTCAGATGTCTTTACAGTGATTGTTAGAGGAACCAGAACATGATGTCTACAAAACAAATATAGCCATTTTATTTACTATCCAAAACCACCAGTGAACCTACACGCCTTCTGAGTTTTTATATGTAATGTAGATGCTGGTAAAATAGTGGTCAATCTGAAAAAATAGTTTTTTGGGGGGGGGGCAGTTTTACCTTAGAACACACTTCATATACCCCTTCACCATGAATGGGATAAAATAAATAGATTAAAGTGCGTTTTAGATGAAAACTTTATCACAAAACCACCATAAAACAATGTCGCAGACATCAGGGTGAGCAGTCATAACAGTTTCACATAATAACTTTGTGAGGGAGCTTTTAGAGGTGGACGTCTGGTTCCTATCACTACCACTGTGAACAATTCTGACTCTGTAAGTTTCTCTAGAACAGAGCATTTCACACCAAACCACTCTGATTGACTTTGTTGACATGTTAACCGTTCAGCTATACAGAAATTTTGGGAAATCGGTGGAGTTCCCCTTTAAGTTTATAGTGATTTCACCATTTTCTAAACCGCACCAGTCCAGAATAACACCCCACACAGGCTCTTCTCCAACTTTAAAGTGCCTCTTTGCTTAATACTGGGCAGGAGACAGTGAGTCACGTACTTGATCGGTTTTATCCGCCTCTTAAGTGGTTGTAATATCTCCAATCACAATGACTGATATTAGGAAGAGCTTGGCAGCTATTTAAAGAATGTAGTTCAGTGAAGTCCTGCTTTCAAGTCATAACTAGAACGATCACGGTTTCACCTGTAGTTCAACTAGTTATAAGGAATTCTCTGAGCTGTTAAAGCCTTTTTTAAATGTTTGTCCAGGAGCTGTTTGAGTTTTCAGAGTGATTTTCCACACAGCTGCAGTGTTTGAAGATCAAAGATTGGAGCAGTTTAAATCGGCCTGTCTAGACTCGTCACATGATCTAGTTCTCGTCAACAGAGCTGAATGCTGGGCCTTTGTGCCGCAGTCCTGAACAAAACTATAGACTTAAAACTCATTGACATTTATTGGAATAGCTTTGAAGACATAGTTCACTGTAAAATCAAGCTAGCAGGTCACATGATGGTTTACATGGTGGTAGCTGGTGACTGTTTGCTTTCATTCACTGTTAGCCCTGATAGCATTTTTGCCTGAAAAGAGTTAAAGAAAATCTGTATCAGCATGCAAGTAGACCAAAGGTCAGTGTTATCACGGAAGCCGCGGTCGCACTAACGCAGGCCGAGTAGTTCTTCTCCTGAGTCTGTTTAGATGATAACAATGTCATATTTGTTAAAATTTCATAATGTATTTCTATGTGTGCATTAATCTTGCACATTTATTTCAGTTTTTTGTAACATGCAGCCTTGGTTTGAACGTCAGTGTCAGTACTCAGACATCTGGCACACTTCCAAATGCTGTGGGCCTGCAGCTGACTTGAGCATTATTTATTATTTTTTCTTTTCCAGACTTTTGTAGCCTGTTACATTCTCTTTTCTCATAAAACTCTTAAGCATTGTGATGAATGTGGTGATTACACAGCTGTGACGCTCATGAAGTGCTTGAAGATGCTCTAGAAACAATGCTCTGGTTGGTTGAATCTGGTGTGCTAAACACTGAAACTGCATCCATTTGGAATTTCAGCACAAAACTAGCGTTTATTAAGTAATTTGTAATGTAATATTCTATAGATTTGCTTAGCATCACTCCTGCACCTCGTGAGTTTCTTAGCCCTCACCATTTTGTGTATTTTTTGTATTTTCATCCATCAATGTTCTGTGACTACAGTGCCCAACATGCACTGCAGAAACACGTCATACAACCACTGGGGATCCCCCCCCCACTTCCCACCCACAGTGACACAGAAGTTATGACTACTAACAAAGCCAATGATTTAGAGGCTGATAAACACCAGTAATGCGACTGTAGTTTTTTCAGACTTCCTCCCGTCTTTAAGATACATCATCAGAAGGGAGTTTTTCAGGACTTCAGACCGAGAAATCTCAATTTATCTCAGTTAACTACCGCTGCGCTGTCGTAGGAGACGAGTAAGCATGTTTAGAGCGGATCTGGCAACTGTTGCTTCTTAATTTAGGCTGAAGTGCCTGTTAAACCCATAATTCTTGTTCACTTTGACAAGAAAGATCCTTTGTTGCGAGAGAGTCTGTGTTAAGATTTGTCTGAAAATGAGGTTCACCTACTGCAGATCTTAAAACAGCCAGTCTAAGCTCAGCTAGTTCAGCTGGTCTAGTGTATTTTTTTTTAAACCACACTTAAAGAGGAATTCTACTATTTTTAAAAAACGCATGTGTAATTAAATCATCAAGATGTAAACAAAGGCATAGTTTTGAGGTACAGTTTTGGCCTAAAACACATTTCTTAAAAGCCATTCATGGTGGAGGGGTACATGCAGTATGTTGTGATGCAAGATAGTCCCCAAAGAAAACTATATACCTCTATATACCTCTAACCATAAACCAGATATACCTCTATTCACATATCATCAAAATCACATATCCAGGTTCACTGGATATTTTGGATAGTAAATAAAATGGCTGTATTTGTGTTGATGTTGTTCCCCCTGGTTCCTATCACCACCACTGTAACCAAATCTGAGTCAGTAAATTTCTCTACAATTAACCATTTTATATAAAACCACTCAACCACTGAATGACTGGTTACATCCCAACCACTGATTCTCTGCTTGAGTCAGCTCATGGTGTCAGCTGATGATTATTTGAGGGCTTTGATTAGTTTTTTGTTTATCCAGCTGAAAAAATGCCACAACAAACTTTCTACAAACATCATTTTGTTCAGCTGCAACCTTTCAGCATTCTTATTAATACCATATATCTTACCATATGATATTTTTTTTGTTTGTTTGTTTGGGGTTTTACGGATGCCGGCCTTTATCCTGATGTAATATTTTCTAAGCACATTGATTGAGCTGATTAAAGGTCTAATGACTTTCTTCTTTATATTTTCATTCATTAATATTGTAGCAGTCCAACAAAAACAATTATCTCCAAAAGGAGGACTTTGCAAGAGAAAGCAAAAACATTCTTAACTTATATTGTAAGTTAGTGTAAAAAGATCTGCTTTCCCTGCAGCGTCTATCTCTGACCACAACCTGCCACACCCTCTCCCGCTAATTAACTTCTTCAGAAGTTTTTATTTGGCTGAATCAGATGCACCTCTGAGACGAGGGTTGGAAACTGCTGCACTAAGGCTTCTGTAAATGTAGGCAACTGCTCTGTAGATGATGTATTCAGTCTGCTGTGTTTCCCTGAATTCTAGGTGCCATTCCCAGTGCGGATCAGATCCGGATCACACCCTCCCTGCGGAGCCAGAAGGGTTCAGTATGGACCAAAACTCCGGTCAGCTTCGAGCACTGGGAGGCAGAGGTGGCATTCCGTGTGTCCGGCCGAGGAAGGACGGGTGCAGACGGACTGGTAAGAGAAAACATTATAGAAGCTGTGACTGTCTTCTATTTTAAAGTGAACCTGCTGAGACACAAAGTATGATATGACTGACCAAATGTACATATACTGGCCACTTAATTAGAAACCTCTCCGCCTTGTTGGTGTACAGTTAGAGACTGTAGCCCATCTGGTGGTGTGCAATTGTGTGAGTCATCCTCTAGCCCTCCATCATTCGAGCTGGATGTGTTTAGATCTTATCTAAAAAGTGACACATACACTCTGTCTGTTATATCAACACACTACCATGTCAGTGTCACTGCTGTGCTGAGAATGATCCACCACCAAGATATGGACAGCAGAGGCCCTGTGGTCAGAAACTGACTGATGATGAATAGAGTCAAACCCTCCAAAAAGATTTAGTGTTTCTGATTTCCTTCACCGGGTCATGTGGTTTGTCTGCATGATCTTAAACAGCTTTTAATGTTCTCTTTGATAACAAAACCATCTGATAAAAGTTGAATAGTTGGTTTTTTTTTTACTTTTCCTATTGTTCCACATATAGTAAGTGTTTCTATATGTAGCTGTTCTCTCCCTTCATGCCCTGCTGCTTACATTTACTACATCTTGGTCACCTACAAAAGTATATGAGTGTGATTACAACTGTGAGACTGCTACAGTATGTGTTTAAGGTTCTACCACAGCTGTAATTTGGTTTCTGAACTGGCATTTTTCTGTCAAACGTGCCTCACTCAGTAATAAGGTACTGTAATTCGTCTTAGGAGGAGCTGTATTTTTCCTTACTATGGCTATTTAAAGAGGACAGGGCAGAGCATGTTGTAGAGGTTCTCAGTTGTGGCCTGTTGTACTCCATCCTGAAGCACCACTTACTAATTATTTGTCTGCCCCCCCAACGTAGGCCATATGGTTCACTGCTGCTCAGGGGCTGGAAGGTCCAGTTTATGGTGCTGCTGACCAGTGGAATGGTGTGGGAATTTTCTTTGACTCGTTTGACAATGATGGAAAGGTTGGTGTAAACATTTAACATTATTATTTTTGCTGATAATAGATTAAATAAATCAATAACAATATTAACATAACATTTATGAGTTATCCTTATGGTTGTTATTGTAAGCACTTTTCATGTTACCCAAGGACGCTGCGCAATAAGTCGAGAGTAATAAAAAAAATAAATAAATAAATAATAGCCCTGTTTTCTTATAAAAGAACTGTTATCCATGAACGGAGAAAGGCAGTGAGTTGTTATTTATGCATGTCAAGGTTAACCACTGTTTGTTTATTGTTTGTTTCTTTTTATTTACAAATAGCTAAAAATGTGTGGATCAGGAATTATAATAGGCATATTTTTTAATGCTTCTGTTGAGAAATAAACATCAAACCACCTCTTTAAAGTATGCTTTGTTAATCCTCTGGAGACTAAATGCAGATTATGTTTTTGTCTGCGTGACCTTGCTATTGTAGAAAAATAACCCAGCGGTCATCGTGGTGGGGAACAATGGAAAACTTGTTTATGACCATCAGAAGTAAGTAAACATTCTCTCCTTCATGACGTCACTGTTGGTCACTGCAAGAGTTCAGTAGGGATTAGTACATGGTTATTTACGGGAATGAGGAGTAAATCCCCTCGTCTTCTGTTTGTCGTGTGGTGAGTGAAAGTGTTAAATGTCCTCTGCAAACCAGAAGAGCCATTACAGAACACGTGTGTCAACATGTACTTCAAAATCCAACATGGACATAAACCAACACTCTGGAGCTAGTGCTTTATGATATGGGCAACATATTATATTGTGGTTATATTGCAGATTATGATTGTGCTATTTCTTGCACTATATTAAAACTCATTGGTGAATCAATAATGTGATGTGGTTAATGACAGGTCTGTATTGTTGTGACCAAACAATACTTTTGTTAAGTTGTGTTAATACCTTTATTCATCAAAACACCCACAGAAACCTTTTGGAACTGTGATTGGTCAGGATGTGTACAGCAGTAAAAACACTGTGATTGGTTAGAGGCTAATTTGCATATTGCATCCTTCTGTGATAGCAGTACTACACATTATTATATTATCACAATAGTGATTAACAAATGATATGTTCTGCAGCCCTTCCTGGAGAAAAATGCTTTAGGTGCTAATTTGCAATATTGATTTCTATTAGTAATTTTAAACACTTAACTCAGTTATGAATTAGGAGGATTTTTTTTATTTATTATTATTTAAACCCCTGTTTGTTTTCCATGAATGGCTTCTGTGTGAAAACAAGTTGGAAACAGATTTTATGAGACATGGTTATTTGTTTAAGTGTTTAAATGGTGTTTTTTTTTGTGTTGTTCCTCTCTTCAGTGATGGGTCAACCCAGGCTCTGGGTACGTGCCTTAGGGACTTCCGGAATAAGCCCTATCCCATCCGTGCCAAAATCACATATTACAAAAAAACATTAATGGTGAGTGGCAGAGGGTGAGTTCTTTTTGTCTCCAAGACAGAAAAGAAAAGTGAAACTATACAGAGAAAACAAAATAATTCCTAGGTTTCTGAGTGTTGACAGGCCAACATTGCTGTGAACTGGTTTGATCTTAAAGAGCAGCAATACTGCAAAAACTGACTGTCTTTCAGAGATGTCTAAATTAATTTCTATGTCAAATGAACTGTGCTGTGCTAAATACTGATGTCCCTGGTCCAGTCTGAAAGATCCGTATCGGAGCTCATCAGGGCCTATTGTAGATCAATATTATTTATTTATTTATTTATTATATTAAGCCTGATCTAATTCTGATCTTTGTTAAGGCTACTTACCAGACTGGCCAGAGAGACTTCAGTTAGTGACTCTCAAATTGCCATTTCTGGCCTTTGTCTTTGTGTGTGTGTGTGTGTGTGTGTGTGTGTGTGTGTGTGTGTGTGTGTGTGTGTGTGTAGCCAGGGTCACATCAGACTGAATGCTGTAACTGATGCCATAAAGCAAGGCTGCACCCTGTGCATTGAAGTTTATTCTGTATAAATAATATAGTAGCATATATATAATAATATACAAATATATGTGTTAGCAATTAAAGGGCTCATATCATGGAAGGGTCTCATTTTCCTAAACAAAAGTGTTTAATTTAGTTAGCAAGCAGTTATTAAAGTTTCAAAACATACCATTCACTCTCCAGTCCATACACTCCATTTATAGACACTAAGGGCTAGTTTAGCACCCCCTATATATACTGACATTATAAGAGCTTTTCGGCCTGGACTGCTTTTTGAATGAGGCACAATACAGGGCAGCCAATCAAAACAGAAGTCATTTACATATATCATTCTTAAAAGCACAGTAAAAAACAGCATGTTTAATTCTAAGGGATAAAGAAGATGAACTTGCAAAAGTAAAATATGACTGTTTTTGGTACATAAAACACAGTCAACAAAAAAAAAATCTGTAAATTGTTTAACTGCAGTTTATTACTAAATACTCTAGACTAGGTTCAGACTTGAAAAAGTTGACTTGTGAACATTGCACTAATTACACCACTGTTGTAGATGTGCCATAAACCTGCAGTAGACATGTTTTCAGAAATTTAAGAGTTTTAAAAGAAAGCGTTTTAAATGTGAATGTGGAGCTGCAACAGCCACTTGTACAGCCACTTGTCAGTGCCTGTGTATTCAGCTACAGTTAAGCTGGTCACCTTTCCCCAACAGAGTTAATCTAACCGAGTACAACATTTAAAGTGTCCGCCTGTTACACACTTAACAGTAACAGTGCATTCAAAGACGAGGAAGCCTTTATTGCCCACTTTGCTAGATGCAACAGTAGTGCATTTAAGACACTATAAAATTGGCATTTCAATAAATTAGTCCACAAAAAAAGTAAATATATCCATTTAGAGTTGCACTTTTTCCTGCAGCTTTTCAAAGTGATTGGCTGCCTAGGCTATCTTGACTAAATTTAATATGGGACAGAACATCTTTGGTACTACGACCTGTCCTTGTTCTCTAGATGAAAACCACTGCTCTCTTTGCCCTCAGGTTCAGATCAATAACGGTTTCACCCCCGAGAAGGAGGATTATGAGTTCTGTACCAAAGTGGACAACATGATCATTCCATCCACTGGGTACTTTGGCATCTCAGCCGCCACAGGAGGACTAGCAGGTCAGGGCCGCCTGAAACCTTTCCCACAATTCTGTTCATGCTTTGAGATTTTGAAAGGAATAGTTAGGCAAAAAATCAGATTTCCCTAGTTTCCCACGTACCCCAGATGTAGTCAGTCAGACGTTTGGTGTTGCTTCTTTGGTTTAGGGGTGGAGCTACAAGGATTACGTTCCTAACAAACACTAGAAGGCAGTGGTCACCCAAATGATTTTTGTTAAAATACATCCCCAAGAGATTTCTCAAACCTCATCCAGGACTTCATTAAGCTTGTAAACATGTGTCTGTGTGGTTTAGAACACAGCATGACTTACTGTGTTTTAAACCAACAATTAAAATGAGCAAATCTTCACTACTAAAAGCAGCTATTTAACACAAACAGGAGCTGGTCTTCACAAAGCGGGATTGATCAGATGGATTTGATTCCTCCACATTGGTTATTATCACAAATATTGATTCTAGATCAGCCCTCCGACTCCTGAGATGGCTTGCGAACACAGACTAAAGCGGCTGCCTGCAGTTTTGTTCATTTTTATGGTTTACTTTAAGTCAGACTGTGTCCTAAAACACATCAACAAGTTTGTGCAATCTTAATGTAGAGTCGGATGCAGTTTAAGCAGATTGAAAAGTTTTGGTGATGTATTTTTACAGAAACTATTTGGGCTATTCGAGTGACTATTGAGGTCTAGCCTCATCATTCCTGTTCTAAACTGAAGAAGATAAATTTGGGCACCAAACGTCTTAGTTGAGCGACTAAAAATGGCCTTTAAGCCATGTTACATTGAAAGTCATGTATTACTGTGAATATCAGATTATCACAACCATATAACCGCAGGGAGTAGGGGTGCTTTGTATTCCTCACACTTGCACCAGACATTATAACGCTTGAAAAATGTTCTCAGTTGAATCTCATGAGGCATTTTATTTTAATATTTTGTTATTGTTTTTCTCCAGATGACCATGATGTCTTATCATTCCTGCTGTTCAGGTTAACTGAGCCTGGACAAGAACTGGTACATGTTTTTTTTCACCGTCCACACACACAAACACTTAAGTGAAGTTAACAAAGAACCCTCCATACTTATTTCATAAGTGTTCGCCAATTACTTCATTCTTTTGTGCGGCGTAATTGGAGTAGGAGTGTGTGCGGTGCAGCAGGCCTCCGCAGAGTTTTGAATGCGTGTTTTGTTTCTTTCTGTGTGTGTGAAGCCCCCACCCGAACAAGAGATTCCTAAAGAGGAGCAGGACAAGTACCAGGAGGAATTCCAGAACTTCCAACAAGAGCTGGACAAAAAAAAAGAGGAGTTCCAGAAGGAGCACCCTGATGTCCAGGGGCAGCCCCGTGAGTGCCCCACCAATTCTAACTTGAAATCTGCCTATTACAACACTAGAATGCCCTTCTTACTAAACATGCTGTAGATATTTGGGGGAAAATTACTGTTGAGTGTAAAGAACTTTAAGAAAGAAAAGATTTTGAAAAGAGAGCTGGTTGAACCAGGCAAAATGAGGAGGAATAAAGGCAATTTATACGGAAGCGCAAAGTTCCTGAAGTTCAGGTCTGCTTGCTCAACACACCTTGTTACTGTCCTAGCGAAACTTGGTGACTGAATCATTAAGTTTAATTGATTATCTGTGATAAATCTGTGACAAATAATTGGATGCCTGTCTTTGACAGGTGATAATCACCCATGTTGAAAGGGAGTTAGAAAAGAAATAGGGCATAATTGTCAAATAATATTAAATAATATTTGCATACTTTTATTAACCTAGAATTGTTAACAGTGGATTGTTGCAGAGCATTAAGTTCAGTAAGTGCACTGCCATAGTATTATGCCAAATTTGGGTTGCATAGATGGAAATAATTTATTAGTATAAGTGGAGATGATTTTTATTTATTTATTTATTTATTTATTTTATTTTATTTTTTTTTAACCCCCCTCAGAATATCATCGCTGCCCAGAGAAAAACATGCATCTCCATTTTTGTCGATTTTAAGTTTTCTTCATCATTTGAACATGGGGGCTGAATAGACCAGTAGCAATGCTCTAAAATTACTTGGAATAAAATACTGACTTATCTTCACACTGACTTACATTTAAAGGTAAAACTTTTTGCCCACTTTCCTGTGAAGTTACCATTTTGGAGATGCTTGTTTTCCTGTGGACAGCGGCGATATGTAAAATATTGTAATATTGCCCAGCCCGACTCTGTATCTGTGTCTGTATTACCTGTCATGAGTTCGCTGTGAACCGTGCTTTGCTTTGTTCAGTGGAGGACCTTTACGAGAGTGTGAGCGATCGCGAGCTCCGTCAGGTGTTCGAGGGACAGAACCGCATCCACATGGAGATCAAACAGCTGAACCGGCAGCTGGCCATGATCCTAGACGAACAGCGCCGTTATGTTTCCGTCATCACGGAGGAAGTTTCCAAACGCGGAGCCCAGTCAGGCCAGGTAGGACTGGAACCAGTGTAATCTAATCCTCACAGTATTAGTATTAATTACGAACAGAATGGGTTTATAGGTTAATTCAGTTATAAAATCAATATGAGTTTATTTATTCAAAGTTATGGGGCATTCCAGCCTAAAACTAGCATTTAATATTATTTTTTATTTTTGTGTAGCAGTCTGCAAAGCTCCGTTTCACCCCATAGTCTTAGTGGTTTTGACAGTGATCCACAATTTTGCATGTCTTCATGTTTTTATCCATCTGCAATTCATTTTCCATTGGTCATCAGACTTTTATGTTAAAGGATAATTCGAATGAAGAATTAACCAGCTAGTGAAACGTTTCAAACATACATCAGAAGGTTTTTCTAGTCTTCAAACCAGGAAATCTCATTTTAGAGACTGCTGCTGAACCACTTTCAGAGGAAAGTTAGATATGTTTGTAACAGATGTAATGATGGTTATTTTGGCCAGAGTGGCCCTTTAACTGCTTTAAAAAGTGGTCAGTAAGGTGTAGATGGTCCAGAATGTCTTCTAACCTTAGTTTTGCCCTGAAGCTATGAGGTTTGCACTAAAGGTAGCATATACCCCATAAATTAGCATCATGCAACACGAGCTACATTAGACTTGAAGCTCCAGTGCAAAACTTAAGCAAACTATATTTGTGTGTAAGTTTGATTCTTAGTCAAATTCCTTTAAAACAGATACAAAGGTCATGAACACTGGCCAGTCCGATCCCTTTGGAGCCATATCTGTTGCATTAACATGTTACTTGATCATTTAATGATGAATTGGCACAGTGTATCCCTGAATAAATACAGAATTAATTAATTTTAGTTCTGATTATTTTCTTCTTTACAAACCCCACTTCATACCCATGGTTTGTCCTGAATAGTGAGGTAATCTGTTGTTTCAGGCGCCGAGTCAGGAAATGGACACTGTAATCTCCACACAGCAGGAGGTCCTGCGTAACCTGGACGACCTGAGGTGAGCTCCTCCGTGTTGTCAGTCTGTGCTTGCCCTGTGTTTGTTAAACAGGCCTGTAAACCTCATATTCCAGAACAAACAAGTGGAATCCAGGGCAACGTGAGTAAATCTCTGTCCAATCTGAGTAAAATCCAGCAGCCTAGGTGTCAGAGGCCAGTAATCTACTGGTAGTCATTTTCTTAAGCAAAATCCTCCTTACGAGGCCATTGATGGAAACCTCTCAATCACACAGCTCCCCCACCTGCCCTGTACATGTACCCCACTGTCCCCCACCGGGCAACAGCCGTATCTCTTCTCTAAAGCCTCTATTTGTGGAGGTTTGACCTGCGACCCCTTGCTGTGTTTTGGTTATGAGTATACAGTGCTAGTTTAGAAGCTTCTGTTCTTAGATGTCTGCCTGACCTGACCTGTTTACCTTTCAGTGCTGTCTGCAGGTTTTTCTCTACAGTTGTTTATGCATCTTTTTTATTGTCCTCTGTTATAATAGAAGATTGATTTTACTTTAGAATCACTTTGTAATATTTTCATAAACTAATTAGCAGTGGTTATGCTAAAAGAATGAATTGGCGACAGCATGAAACCAGTTTGTCTCCTCTGACACGGAGTCAGATACAGTATTGTCCGATACTGATATCAGTTTGATATTTGTTTTCTTTAAGATTGCTTAGCTTTAAATTGAGCTTTTTTTTTAATTGAAGCACTTTACTTAAGATGACCTTCAGAACAGTATCATGTTGAGGTGGGCAATATGATGATACTTTATCCTGATAAATTATGTCATTGTGATAATATACTTTTCGGAGCATATCGTGGATGTTGAGTAGTTAAAGAACACAAAACTACTGAATATAAATGGAGCATAATTAGTTTTGTTTAATTATTTTTAGCATGGTATGTGAAATGTTACTAAAATACCCAAAGCTTTGGATGGCGGCGTAAATGTAGCACTGATAGTGCATTTTGTTTCTGTGTCAAAATATTGATACCGTGTATCATATGATATTTTTGCCATATCGCCCACCTTTGGTATCATGTTCAAATTGCTCAAGTTGTCTACTAGCCTGCAAGAAGAAATACATAACTAACATGAGTGACACAAAGTCACAGCTTTATTTCCATTTTCAGCTTTTTTTGCAGAAAATGAATGAAACTAATAAATAATTTAAAATAAAGGAGTTGTACTTCTCATATAATACTATTGCTACTCGTTTGCTCTTATGCTAACAGTAGACTGTATGGTCCTGTTGTTAAGTGACCCCTTTTACTCTGGTTATGTTATGCAACTCTAGATTGTCAGTGTCTTTAACTACCATTCAACTAAACATCTATTAAATGCAACTGAACATGAAGTTGCATTAAAGAGATTCTATTAAATCTGTCCCTAAACCTAACCTTAAGGCAAAACCCACACCTACTCTTAAACCTAACCCTTACCTTAATGTTGTTGCTAATCAACTATTACCAGAACATTTTGGTAATAATTAATGTATCTGTAGATCATCTATAGAGGACTATCCAAATAAAGTGGGACCAAATTTTGTACAAAAACATAAAGAAGTTATATGATATCCAGCTAATATTGGCCTGACGTGATTCTGAGTATCAAATCTATATTTATTCCATCTCCTAGAAAACATATTTTCTTGCCTTTTATCTATTATGTCTTTATTGCAAACTTTAAAATGTTATAATTGCTGTTAGCAATTTAAACTGCCTGAAAATGGTGGGTGTTTCTAGTTAGCTCTGTAGAGATGCGCTGAACTGGAAGGGGATTAAAGGGAAAATTAAAATGTTAATATTCAGCTGTAAGTATAATGTGTCCAATTCCAGTCAAATTATTCTTATGATCTGATAAGCTTGCTCGGTTAATCCAGATTAAACATCATGACTTGGTGCCATTGTGAAGATGACTTGGTGCCATTGTGAAGAAGTCATTATATGACCGAATAATGACGTGTTAAAGTGTTGTTGTGTGGCTGGTGTTCAGAGTGAAGGTGTAGTCACTCTGGATCAGGCTACAATAACAAAATATTAAACAATGGGAGATTTTAATATTACCCTGAGATTAGACTCAGAAATTCTGCATCTAAAACTCCTTAACTGTGAAAATCGAGGATTAGTGAGAACAAAGACTGAAGCCACAACTCCTTAATTCTCCTATGATCAAACTATACAGACTGTTAAACCTTGTTGTTGTGGTTTTTATAAGATTTTGGGTCTTTGTTCGTGGCTGAGATTAGTAGATTAGGATGTGTTTTTTGTATGTATTGGTCACCAACTGTAATGAACTCTAAAAATCGTAAGTTACAGACTTACTACAGTGACTTTTTCAAACTGACTGAAAGTATAGTGCAGTAAATAAAGAAGGTCTGAGGTAATGAATGACTACTTTGATGATGTTTTCAGCCTAAATTATATTCAGTCATCTAAGTATTCATACAAACAAGCCTACCTATATGAAGTTTTGTGAAACTGTTCCTGTCTGTGCTGCACTTAATTAACAAATGTCCATATTGTGGTTTTGTATTTTCAGTGATAACTTGCAAAACATAAAAAAAGCACGATTGAATCAACAGCAGGACATTGACCTGTATTACTTTGACCAAAATAATTAACACTTGTCAGATTACATCTAGTGATACATGATTATCAGAGTAATGTGGGTGTCTGAAGATAATTTCCTTAAAAAAAAAAACTTTTTGACATCATACAGATGTTTAGACTTGACTAATATATTGAACCAATATTCAATGTATTTATTGTACTCCAGAAGAGTCAAATGTCTTTTTTCCCATTTTGCTGCGTTTTTAACACTACAGACGTCCCAGTAGTCTCGATTTCTACATTTTATAAATGTTTATCGGCATTGGTGGATACAGCCGTATGCAAAGTTTGGGCGCTGATGGTAAAGCTACATATTTTGTTGATTTGAAGTGAAAATAAGTGAACACATCCTCTGCAGAGAACACACTTCTACACATTTTAATGCACAATTACTGTTTATTTGCTGAATTTAACATGTTAGAAAAAAGGACGTGATGTGCAAAAGTTATGGCACATTTTTATATTTGCTGTTATTTTTTCCAATATGTTAAACTCAGCAAGTGAATAGAAGTTGTGCACAAAAATTAGCAGAAAATGTTATTTATGTGTGTTTTCTGTAGACGTTAACTGTGTTAACTTATTTTTACTTAGAAAATCAACAAAACCTCATTTGGCCAGTCATGTTCAAACTTTTGTGTACAGCTTTGTATGTAAAAAAAAAAAAAAATTGATGTCTGCATCAGCCCACAATTCCCATATTGGCGCATCCTTAATTACATGAATACCTTGATGCTTCCAAACATCACAGAAATGCTGGTCTGGAACTGTGATTGGTCACAGCACACAGTACAACCCATTGATTTAGAGACATATTTGCATATCACAGCCTTCTGAGATATCAGTATTGCAAATGTCAATATTGCAATAACGATTAACAAACTGTATATCGTCCAGCCCTCGTGTCTCTGTGTTGTGCATAGGCACAGATGTAATGTCTGGCAATGCTGCAGCTGCCTTTTAATGACTCTTCCTGATTCCCATCTGATCTGCTCAGCTATTCACACCAGCACATGTACCTGAGAGCATAATCCAATAGTCATTAGTAATCAGTGTCATGGTTTTGCTCATTTGGGTTAATCCACTCCGTGTTGCGCTCCTTGTTGTGTTAACCGATGCTCTATTTTGTCCTTAGACAAAAAAAAACTCCCCTGATCTGAATCATCTTATAGATGATAAAAAAAAAAAGGCCTTGACTTTTTCTCTGAAGGGTGAATTAATTTATTGACCCCTGTTAGTCCAGCAAAATTACTTGCTGGGGACAACAAGGCTTTCGCCCAATATATAGGTCATTTGGAGTAGATAAAGATTAGATGAAGGGTTTAATAAACGTTCACTTTGTCGCTTAAGGGAGATTTGTGTCTAATGATTTTTGTTCCCCCTTGAGAAACAAATTTGATTTTGTTTGGGTACGGACCTCCGCTTAGCGCCAGCCGCCGAGGGGCCGCGCCGTGTGTTTCTGGAAGAAAAGGCGGCATCTTAGCGGCGTTCATCCTTAGCGGATTAGACGACAGTCTTTAAATATATCCTTCATACACGGGGACGTACATGCTTCTGATTGCTTTCTTGTCTCTGCGATTCCCCAAAGAGGCCGCGCTTATGACTTAGCGTCCGCTTTCATTTTCTCGACCCATCTTTTTAATATCTCACTAATCGTCTCAGCCTCCTTAAGACGACTCGTTAGAATGAGGTTTGACGACTCGCGGCAAGAAAAATGTAATTTAATCAGAGACATGATCTTAATTTGAAGATGTGTTCTTGATTAAAAGGTTAAGCCCCTCCTTTATTTATTTCTTTATTTATTTTTGCTCTTTTAATGCTCATCCAAGGAGTTAATGTGCATCAGTTTGCACTGAGTTTTTATAGTGTATTTAAGAACAGTAGACTTAATATTTGTACTTCGGCTCATTTTCATTGTGCAATATTTTGGAAAATCTTTGTTTTCTTGTATGAGGATGTTTGGAAGGAAGAGTCATTTATTTTTTAGGAGTTTTAGACACTTGTCTGTTGTCTTGATCTCTTTTGTTTGACATGAATAAGTTCAGACCAGCTGTCCTATTTATTTAGTGGTTATTGTTGCCTAATCTTCTATCCTACGTCACTTTTTTCCATTTTCTGCGCTCATTTTAGGCATGAAATAAGCAGAATGTTTCATCCTGCTTATATAACTAACTACACATATATGGCATTAAATATGGCATTTTTCTAAACATTTCAATGCACAGTTTCTTTTTATTTATCCGATTTTAACATATTGGACATATTTTTTTTTTTTTTCAATATGTTAGTCAGCAAATAAACAGTTGCCTGTTAAAATATGCAAAAGTGTATATTGTTTAGGATGTTTTAACTTACTTTATCATATAAAAGCAACAACATGGAATTTGACCAGGTGTGCCCAAACTTTTGCATGTGTGAATGTGTAAAACTAGAAATTTCCATATTTAATGATCGTTTTAAGACTCTTGGTAATATCAAGCATCATAAAATGAAAGCATGCTAGCGAAAGACTCCTGTCTCTGTCTGAATGGGTATGTCTTAATCATGTGAAATATGTTTAAGGGGAGGAACATGGTTTTAGAGGGATTAATTTAGCAGTCATTGCTGCCTTCGTTGCAGGGTAATTTCATTTCGTGGTGAAATTGAGGGATATATGGCCTTTTGGGAGCATTAAGAAGAGTAGGATTAAGAGATTAGATCGGGACAATTCACTGTAATATTAAGATTAGGAATTTGATGTCAGAAGAAGTTGGCCGCTGTCATTTGACAGTGTAATTGGGGACACGAGCGCTTGCCTGCAGTGACACTCCTCGACCACTAGGGGCGAAAGCGCCTTTTACTCTTTCAGCAGCAGAACAGAGGCTCTGTGGAAGGAACAGTTCAATCAGAAAAAAGATAATGTTGCTAATGATATATGGAAGCAATCCAATTAGCATTACAAAAATAGCATCACACTTGTGTTTACTAGGTCTTTCTGATGCCGAAGTGAGTGAAGGCTCAGGTTTCAGCTTGCTGTCCCAAACCAAAAGCTGTTTTTAAGTTTCTCCTGTTTTAGGCTTGAACTAACATCCAGATGTTTGTCTATTCATTTGTGAAAATTGAGCTACCTGAGTTAGTCCTGTTCTCCTAAATCTATTTTGCTCAAAGGGTAAAAAACATGACTCTTAAAACAGAATAAAACTGGTTTTCTGTGAGTAATTTGTGCTTCTGAATTGATGATCCTTCTCTTTATACTAGAGATCATCATTTTGTGAGGTGGATACACGTTGTTAGCACGGTCAGCCAATGCCGATAAGGATGGAACGCAATGATATGGCGCTGACCTAAAACGGCACATACACCGAATATGGTTTTAATTGGTTTAACTACCCTAACGTTCTTCTTGGCTTCATAGCCAAATGCTTACATGCCTTAAACCATTTTCAGTTGTAGTTTCAGACATAAATATCCACAAGTTACATGATTAAGTGATGCAACAAAGCAGACAGTAGTCACACTGCAATCTCACAAACATGAATTATTTTCAGTTAACTAGCAGCAAGGTAAAATATTTTAACACGGAACAAAAGTGGCAGACTGACAAAAAGGCAGGGACGAGTGTTTCACTGCAGTTGAAGGATGTTTTGTCTCCAAATAATGAGGTAAATGGATGGTTTCACAGCCTCATTCACAAGCGTCTCTCTATACCACAGTGGATTTGAGCCATTAGCATCCACTTTTCCAGTGAGTCCATATTTTGTTTTTGATAGAATGATGCCTTTTTTGGTCTTGGTACAACTTATTTTCTGGTCTTCTGTTAATATAAAATATATAATTTTTTTTTATGGGTTTGTTGCCATGATAGTTTTTTTACTTTACTAACGGTCAGCGTCAAAAAAAGCAACCAATGAGACATAACAGAGGTTGATATATTTACCATTTTAGTTGCAAGAACAACTACTACACTAATACTACACTAATAATATTGATCAAATAAAAATATTAAATGATGCACGGCCCAGTACAGCCCTGTGCTGAAAGAATGTCTTACCGCCCTGACATTGTTGTAATTTTAATTCTCTTAAAATTACACCAAAGGGAGCCTTACACAGTATTGTAAACATAACTAGACAGAAATAAAATTTGCAGAAACGAAGCTCATTAATTTAATTTAAAAAACTAAAATCAAAATGATTGGATGTAGAGACATGACTGTTTTCTATGTCGAATGTTATCTGTGTTGATACTCTATCAGCATCACGGTGCGACTGCCTTATGACGCAGAGTTGACTGTAGTAACGTTTGCGTCTGTGTGTGTTTTTCAGGAACACGTTTTCAGCCTCAGTAAAGCAGCTGGCTGTGGGACAGCAGGGAAACACTGGAGGTTTAGGCTCATACGAGACCGTCCAACACTTCAACGACATCAAAGAACATCTGCACGTTGTCAAGAGGAACATCGAGCACATCATCCAGAAAAACGCGGTGAGCTCACACTTATGATTGGAGGTTTACCAGTAATTCATCAGTGATGTGACTAACAGTGAACGAAAGCTTGAAGCTCTAATTATCTTGCATTTTGCTAAAAGTTGGCCCTCTGTTTTTATTTATTACTAACAGCATTAGCTTTCTTGACTGAACTGTTCCTGTAATGAAACTTTTAATGGAAAAAAAATTGAAGTTTGACTGTTGCTGAGATTTTAAACGTGTAGTATGTTGTGTGATGAGGTGAGTGATCTGTTATTTTTTATTTTGTTCTTGTTCTGTCGTGTGCAGGGTCCAGCAGAAAAGCCAAAATGTCCAGAACTCCCGCCCTTACCAGCCTGCCTCACCATGGCACACTTTGTTGTTGTCGTGGTCATTCAAACTCTCCTGTTTCTCGGCTATTTCATGTACAAGTTAGTAACGTTTTTCTGAATTCATTTTACATTTTTTAGATGAAATACGTAAGAAGTTGGGTTTTTTCAGGTGGTACAGAATCAGTTTTTACTCTGAAACAGTGTAAATAGATATAACTATAGCTCAGATTTTTTTCTTCCTACTTTTTTTATTATTATTATTTATTTTAAGAAATGGACACTTTTACTATATAGTCACCCCAGTCATGTTTTGTTGATTTTTTTTTAAGTGGGAAAAAAAATCATCACACCAAACAACACATCTTTTACAAAAAAACATAATGTAACACTTCATATGGCCTTTTTCTAAACATTTTAGTGCACAATTTCTGTTTATTTGCTGGGTTTAACATACTAGAAAAAAAAAACATAAAATTTGCAAACGTTCTATTTTGTATTTTTCCCCAATATGTTAAATTCAGCAAATAAACAGTAGCCACGTTTACATGCAGCCTGATAATCCGTTAATAATCTGACTAATGGCTCAATTTGAATAGAATATGTCCATGAATACACTTTAGTCGGAATAGACTAGTCCGATTGAGGCCATTCGGAATACAATTTCTATCCGATTGAACGAGGTGGATAATCCTGTAAATAATCCATTAAATAGAAGAATAATAGTCGTGTAAACACCTGTATCTGATTACATTCCCAATCAGAAAGTTGAAGTACGTTCTGCACGTGTGTTTAAGTCATAGCGAAATTTATAATGTTCAACATGGCGGAGCAGAAACTGGTCTGCAGAGGAGACGAAGTTTATGCTCTGATCTTTAAAAGACGGCGGTGGGACGGACGTCCAGCTTACATGTCTCAGAACACGACGTCTTCCTCTCGCCCTTCTTTAATAAGGACATGTGAAGGACGTTTTCCTGAGTCTGACATCATTTTAATTAAAAACACAAGCACTGCTCACTGCTACTCGTCTCACTCTGACTGGACTCAGGTGATGCTCATTGTCATGGTAATGTCTACACTAAGTGGTTCTCTATGTATGCATGTAATTTTGGATCGGATTACTTGTGTGAATTTTAACAGAGATTTCCCGTCAGATCGTTGAGTAGAGTTTAATATAAACACCTCAGCCTTCATCTATAATCAGAATGTATTTAACCGGATTGGCAAAAATCTTTGTCTGTAAACACAGCCAGTAAAGTAAAAAGGATGCATTGTTAAGGACGTGACTGAAGAACGGCTTTTTCTCTAATTAGGCTAACTACTCAGTACTTACTAGACAATAATTATGCATTACATTGTGGAGTGGTGTGTTCACTTTATAGGATGTGTTCACTTATTTTCACATAGAAAGTCAACAAAATGTGAAATTTGAGCAGGGCGCCCCAAACTTTTGCATACAACTGTAAATAGGTTTACTATATAAATATATAAATTATGCAGATTTTTTTAAAAAATCAGATAAAAATTGAAATAATTTTTCATGATGGTGGTGAATATATTACACAAAAGAAAAAAATCTGAGCTTTAAAATATTCAAATCTGAGCATATTTAAAAAAAGTTCTGAAAACAGCAAATTACTGAAGAGACTTTGTGACTCTTTTTCTCTGATTTTCTTTCTCTCTGTTTCTCTCTGCAGAAGCCAACAGGAAGCAGCAGCTAAGAAATTCTTTTGATGAAACAGATGACTGGTTAAAACAGCACAGTATGTAAATGAGGGATTGTTATTGTTTGTGTTATGTTTTTGTTTGAAGACTGTAAGTTATTATACTTGAAAAGCTGATGTTTTGTTTGAGATTTTTTTTTTTTCTTTTTAATTCCTTTTTTAATTTGATCTGAATTGTACAGGGTGTGAATGATTGTTCCTTCCATGAGAGTGTAAACTGTTTCGGTTTAAGATCCCCAAATACGATGTAAGATATTCATTAGTATTCAGAGAGTATGTTCAGAGTTTGTACGTCACTCTGTTTTACATGGTTTTGCTTCAGGAAGTCGACCACTGTCCCCTGAAAGTGTTGCTGTACTGTGGAAACTTGTTCTATGGAAGCAGAATGTGTCATTGTTTGGGGGGGGAAATACTGTATTCCAACGTTGTAGCCAAACTGCCAAACCTGCAAAGCCAAGGCCCAGGGGTCATGAATGTGTTTTGAATCTTTGAAAAATGATATATTTTTCTCAAACAATTTACATAAACAGAACACAAACCCATCTCTGTCTCATCTGTTTTTTTTTTGTTTTTGTCTTCATGATTTGGAATAAGAAAATGGCGCAGGACACTGAAATCACCCTGACCTGTATATCGTTGCTGTCCAAAGAAAAACAAGTATCTCAAAAATAGTGACTTTACAAGAGAAGGCAAAAACACTCTTATCTCTGTGTAAGTTAATGTAAAGAGGCTTTATTCCAAGTGATTTTGGAGCATTTCTATTTGTCCATTTATCATAAAATTTCCACACAACGTAAAGGACAGCTGGTGTGTTGAATTGATGTAGAAAAATAATAATCGAGAAAAAAATAGATACGTGTTTTTTATTGGACAGCGGCGATATGTAAATACTGTTGTGGTGAATGAATATGAATATTCATTGGGTGCAAAGCAAGAATCTAAATTTAATTTGAGTGATTAGTTTTATATCCTTGACTCATGGTCTGGTCATATTAACAGGCATAATATCTGCCAAAAAAGCCTCTTAATTTCATAGTTTTACTGAAACAGCATAAGAGGTCCTTGTTGCTGGGGGAAAAAATCTTGAGCTTTTCAGATTAATATTATTGATGGCAGCTTTTTATATCAGAGAGTGGTATATTTTAAGATTAAACATCTGACAAGTTCATTAATACGTTCTAGTAATAAGGAAGCATGTGTATTGTTAATTAAAGCTGCACTATGTAAGATACTTTTTCTTTGTTAAAATTAAAAGAAGTATCATTACTGAGGCAGGAGAAAACATCAGCATGCTAAATATGGTGCATGTTTGTTGCGAATCGCCCTGTGCATCCTGAAATGATAGTTTAAGTCAGCGGTGTCGGATTTCATCATACGTATTAACGCCACACAGTCTCAAAAAAAAGGTCTGGCTCAATGTTTTGGTCTCAAATGCAAAATCAACACTGGTGAAGATATGGTGACGCATCCTCAGAAGGCACATCCTTAACAAAGTTTGGACTAAGTTCTCTTTAAATTCTTCTTCATTGCAATCCTCAGACTCATCCTCTTGGGGAAGGGATCCGAAGCAGAACCCACAATACAAAATGTTCTTCCACGTGTTGGGTAAATTTAAACATTTACATCAGAGAGGTCTCCAAATCCACCAAAACTTACCTAGTTTAACTAATTAAATTAACAGAAAAATAAAATTTAAAGGCTTTATTTTTGTCATTGCTCATGTTTCTTGGATTTATCTGGTCTTCAGTTAAACTGACATGGATTGGCCTGTACCAGCTGGGTTTGTGCCAAGGTTATTTGCCATCTCCAGTGATGAATTGCAGCCAGTGCTTAGCAGCTTTCAGCACTGCAACAGACGCTTTCAAATAAACCTGTTAAACTGTAGAATGTTGAGGTTATTCTTTAATTTGGGGTGCAAGTGACTTCAGTTTAGATGCTGTTCAAGCATATTAATATACTGAAAAGGAACTAAGGATGACGATGAGTTTACCTTCACTGTGTATTTGTTACCAAAACCAACTGTGTGATGGTAGTGACGTGATGGCCATGACCATTTTCACTTTTTGGTTTAATCTCAGATTTGATAACCCAACAGGATCTGTGCAACGTACATTTAATGTCCAGCATGAAAACAGAAGTGAACTTTTTCACCTTGCTTGTTCACGATTGTTCATGTTTATTGCTTTATTACAGAGACATCTAGATGGAGAACTCTCCAAAACTAGTGAAATTCTCGTGCATTTTACATTCTTACAGGAAGATGCCAGTAATGAACAAAAAATCTCCCCAGGAGACAAAAAAGTTCCTCTAATTGAAAAACTGCCTCGTCATGTATTGTTGCTGTCCAAAGAACGATCATCTTCTAAATGGTGACTTTACAGGAGATGGCAAAGCATTCTTAAATTTTAATGTAGGTTAATGTAAAGAGGTTTTATTCCAAGGAATTTTTGGAGCATTTCTATTGGTCCATTCATTATGAAATTATTACACAATGTAAAGGGCAGCTGCTGTGCTCAAATAATTTAAAATGACTAAAAATTTCAGAATATATCAAAAACAGTCATAATGCATTTGTACATGACCATTACCAACCTCTCTTCATCTCAGTATTAAACACCCCATTACTGTGTTACTGTGCCTTTAAGAGTGATGTAAGTAAATGAGCCCTGTTCTGATTGGCTGCCTTGTATTGCGCCTCATTCAAAAAACAGTCTGGGGCAAAAACTCTCCTTATAACTTCATTGTTAGTGGGCAGAGCTAAAGTACTGTAGGCTGAATAGATGAATATGTGTAAATGCATTCTTTTTTTATGACCCCATGTAAAAAAATAATTAAAAACAGGCTGTTTTCACAGCTTAGTTTCCATATATGCACCATACAGACTGAAGTTTTGAAATGTTCACATCAAACTCTTTCATTTCAGAAACACAAGGAAGGTTTGTTTTTCCCAGTTGTGGCCCTTTAAAGAAAAACAATCATTTGAGTAGATTAATGCATGTATTTGATTTCATGAGCAGGAGGAGGGGATCCTGCTTTCTGTGCCTGTGTGCTTGATGGCCAATGCCCCGTGCTGAGGCTTACAAAAGAGGCCGGCCTCTACCAAAGCTTTCAACCAAAACATGCTGCATCGTGAATGAAGGCAAATAGGAGCTGATTAGCACTGTGTAAACAGTGATCATGCTAGCTGGCCCCCTCTAGCTTCGGTTCATTGTTAGTGACGTTGGCACCTCTGGGTAAAGTGTTCCTATAAGGATTAGAGCACAGAATGGAAGTCAGAACACTTTCACTGCCTTAATTTCACTTCTCCTCACCCCCCACCTTCATCAGCTGTCGGTGAGGGATTCCCTTAATGGCTAAAACAACAGCGGGAAATCCTCACACTGGGACGCTTTAGAATTCCACACTGTAAAACCTGATTTGTTTTCTTTGTCTTGACTTTTTGTCCCTCAAGGCAGTTGTTCCTAACAAAACACTTGTGTAAATGTCCTGACGGTGTAGATCTGCTTTGGTTTTGCAATATGAAACAGTTTCACTGAAACTGATTGTGTTGACATGATAAATTTTACAGTGTAAAACGGCTGTAAACTTTATTTTGACCATGCTTCCTTTGAGAGGGTCTCTAAAGATTCGTTTAGACCTGTGAAGATGTCAGAAACTACCCTTCATTATTTAATTTTCAGCCCAAGCGGCTGTTAAGCTATTCATGTTTCTGAGGAGATTGAATATATGATAGTCCACTTGCATTCAAATGTTTTAGAAACTGAAGTTTAATTAAAAGATGAAAAGAAAATGGGACGCCTAACAACCATGCGAAGACCTGGTAGTCCAGACCTCAACATCATTGAATGTGTTTGGATTGCATGGATCATGAGAAGCAGAAAATGCAGCCATTTCTAAGACTGAACTTTGGACGTGTGGCGATTTCTTTGAAGATTTCTTTGAGAAACTGCAAGCAAGTCTTTTGGACAAAAAATGGAAGCTGTAATAAAGGCAAGATTGGACGCTTTAAATACTGAAAAATCTGATATTACAGGATGATTCAAAAAGATTCATCTGATTTCAAAATGATTTATTTAACTTGTAAATCATTACAGAACAATGCAGTAAACTGTAAATGGTTTAAGTGAGCAGAAAGTTTATTATGTAATTATACAAGTGCTCAATATGAACCTCCTCCAGCTGTACGGACATCAACGCCATAGTCAAATTCATCCCATACTCAGTTGAGCATGTTGGGTGTCACTGTACTCGCAGCTCTTTCCATGCGATTTCGGAGATCATCCAGTGTTGTGGAACCAATGACGAACGCTCTGAGTTGTTGCAAGTTCACTGCCGACGAAATTCACGTTGCACAGTTATGACTGATTCACTCCTATTAAAGTGGAGAACACAAAACGCTTTCTGCTCAGGGGTCGCATCTCCTCGCAGACTGAAGGGAGCCATCGTCCAGTGACAGTCAGAAACTCTATGACCCCCTCTTTCAGTTGGTATGTGATTGGTTCCTAGGCGCCTCACGGTTGTTAAAATATGGCGCTTTGAAATCAGATGAATCTTTTTGAATCACCCTGTATATTTAGTTGCTGTGTCCTCCATGTCATTTTCTGTTTTAGATTGTTTTCCTGGTGCTGAAAAATGATTGAATGTCCATTTTGACTAGATAATAAATAAACAAATGGTGGTCTCTGACTTTTGTACAGTACTGGAGATAAACATTAGGGTTCTTGTAGACATATCATTGCAAGTCGGTGCAAATTAATCTGAGCGTTTATGCTGAACACACAAAAGCACATACAGATCATACATGTACCGCCAGACCAAGGAATATGTGAAGTAACAGCAGGTTTTAGCTGCTACCTTTAGTATTTTCAACTGAGCAATGATAATTTGTCTTGTATCGAAAAGGGGAATTCCACAGATTTCTAAAAATGTAGAATTAAAAGGTTAAAATGTAAACAAAGTCATTCAGGGTGGGTTTGATGTGAAATTCTCTGACTGACTCAGAATTGTTCACAGTGGTGGTGATAGGAACCAGACGTCCAAAGTGTTTAACTTTAAAATCTCCCACACAGAAAGTTATTACTTGAAATGATAATGAATAGGATGCCTAAGACATTGTTTTAGAATACATTTGAGATAAAATGACATTTTTTAATCCATTTGTGGCAAAGAGAGGAACATGCAGGGCACTGTGATTTTACAATCTTTAGCACAACAGTTAAGCATTTAGAATACAAGCGTAGTACAGGTAGTTTCTCTGCAATGAACCATTTCACATCAAAACACACTGAATGACTGACTCGAATGACTTAATTGCGCAGGAATTCAGGAAATTTGGTGGAATTCTCCTTGAAAAGACTAATTAAAGGCCTCTGCTTAATTTTCTAAACCAATTTCAAGACCAAATGTTTGTTACTTTGTTGCTAAAACATTTTATACATGTTTAATTAAAAAAAAGTATATAAAAGTGTAATTTTTCATTATTATTATTAGAATTATTATTTCTGTACCCTCTTAAGTAGTGCCAGATGCCATAAAAGAACCC